AATAAGTATGCTTTGGATTCTTTACTATTCTCTTTCAGTGTTTCGAGTTTATAATTTTTTTTCACTTTTTTCGTTCATTTCCATCATTTAATGGAATTTCAGGAGGGAGCAAATATCTGTAAGTACTATGTATGTCTTCTTTTTTTTTTTTTGGTACCGAGGATCGAACTTGGAACCTTGCACTTGCGAGGCAGGCGGCGGCACCACTGAGCTAAATCTCTGGCCCTATGTATGCCTTCTTGAACCACTAATCCCTTTATTTTAATAAAAGAACATTGTTAGGAGCACCACATGTATTGGTTGGTGTTGAGGAAATGAAAGTTATTGCAGGACAGTTAATAGAAGTGTTTCTGAAATTACTTGTCAGAGAAGATGCATGCTGAAATTTTTTCTGGCTAAATAGCGTGAATTAAGCAGTACATACTATTTCATTATTTTTTTTGTTATTGTTTGCATTAAAAGAGGAAGCTGGGCCAGGCATGATGGCGCATGCCTGTAATCCCAGCACTCAGGGGGCTGAAGCAAGAGGATTGCTGTGATTGCCAGCCTAAAAAAAAAAAAAAAAAAGATGTTTCTGTCTGTCTTGTGGCAACTTTTATTTAAGAATCACACTATTCAGGGCTGGGTATTTAGCTCAGTAGTTCTGCCGCCTGCCATGCAAGCGCAAGGACCCGAGTTTGATCTCTGGTACCCCAAAAAAAAAAATCACTATTCAGTATAACATGTACCTTTGAACAGCAAGTATGGTACGTGTGTAAAATGAAGTAGTTGGACTAGTTGATGCTTCATGTTTCTTTTAACACTAGTAACCTTTGATTTTAAGCTATATATTAAATGTTATATACATGATTGTTATGTATATGTGCTTAATGTATATTAAGAATTTTTAACAGTTTTTGAATTCTAGATTTTCTATATGAAGAAGAAAAGTGTTCTATACAGAAATCATTTTAGTTAGCATTTGATACATGTCTTTTGAGGGATTTATAACTATATATTACTATAAGAATATATTTGTAAGTTTAAGTAAATAGTATAGAAATGTGTGTACTTTTTTTGGTGGTGGTGCTGGGGTTTGTATATGTTAGGCAAACAGTCTACCACTGAGCTACACCCCTGTCTCTATACTGTTTTCTTAAACTATGAGATAGCCAGTGTTCACTGAAAGTTTATATAATAAACCTAATGTGTGCAAAACTAAACTTACTCTCTTACTTCTGTTGTATTGCTCTTTCCTCCCCACTGCATTTCTACTGGTAAACATCTCTGTATCACTTGTTTTCCTGTGGCTACTGCTTTAGTATAGGCCCTTCATCATCTCTATTCTTCCTAGCTAATTGGAGGAGCTTCTTGAAAAGTCAACTCTCTTTCCAATTTTTCTTTTTCTCCCTCTGGTCATCTTACACATTGCTGCCAAGCTTTCTTTTCAGAACAAAGAACCAGTACTGTCACCCCATTGATTAGAAACCTCTTTTGACTCCCTCCTGCTTACAAGATGTTTAACCCACTTAGCCTAGGACACAAGACTCTTCACAGCCAAAGTGTGAGTAGCAGTTAGTTCAGCAACATTTTGAACCCTAAGCTCTGTTATTATGTTGGTTTAATGCTGTGTTCCTCTACCATTTCACATCTTTTTATATCAAGGCCCAGAACAGAGATTAGTACATGATGAATGCTTAACACTCAATACATGCTTACTGAATAAATGGCTGAAAATGGTATTGTTCTCTTATCTGTAATCCTTTTACTGTCCCCGTTTCTACATAAACAGTCCTGTCCAACTTTCAGCCTTCACAAGGTGAAAGTAATATAGAGAATAACAGAAAATCTGAGCTCTGTAACCAACTCTTAAAGTAAGCAATCAACTCCAAATTACCTGCTTTACCTCTGACAGCTCTATGATACAGACCCAGTGGTTGGCAGGGTACCTCCAACCTTTGCAGTCTATGTCGCCATGAGAGCAGCTAACAGTGTTGGCCTAGATGCTTTATAAACAGGACTCCTTGTCGCCAACATGTATTGTGGAAGTTGTGACATTTATTACTTTTAGAAGTCACTTGACAAGTAAATGAGTGTAGCTGAGCTTCTGCCTTAGGAATTCAGAGATGGTTCTAGACTATGATTTTTGAAGGAGAGCTTTGTCTGATTGTTTGATATACCTTCTCAAAACCAGTAATGAATGTGCAGTTTAAAAGCAAATTTAGGTGTTAACCTAAGGGCCTTAGGCTTGTGGTCAAAATCATTTTACTCCTGAAAACACATTCACCTCCATTGTAAAATGTGATGAAGTAAAGGCAAAAATAATGGCAGAGAAAGCAGTAACATTTTATTTCCACTTGATTTTATCTTGTTTTATTTTATTATGGTGCTGGGGATCGAACACTAGGCCTTGCACATGATAGCCAAACACTCTACCATTGAGCTGCATCCATAGCCTTTCTTATTTACTTATTATTAATTTTTTTTTTTGAGATGAGGCTGCTAAGGCACCCAGGCTGATCTTGAACTTGGTATCTTCCTGCCTCAGCTTCCATATGACTAGGACTAGAGGCATGGGCTGCCGCAGATGGCCTCAAGAGTATCTTTTTTTTTTTTTTTTTTTTTGGTTTTTTGAGGCAGGGTCTCCCTTTGTAGTTCAGGGTTTCCCTGAACTCACTAGGTAGTCCAGGCTGGCCTCAAACTCGAGGCAATCCTCCTTCCTCAGCCTTCCAATGCTGGGATCACAGGCATGTGCCACCACACCCAGCATTATCTTTTTTTTTGTACTTGGAATCGAACTCAGGGCCTCATGCTTGCCAGGCAGGCGCTGTACTGCTGAGCTAAATCCCCAGTCTGGAGTATCTTTTTCAATATATATATATATATATATTTTTTTTTTTTTGTACTGGGGATCGAACTTGGGACCTTGTGCTTGTGAGGAGTATCTTTTTAAATAGTAGAGGATGTTCAATTTCCTAGAACCAAGGGGGGAAATATCACTATCATACTAAATGTCTTCATAATTGTAAGGAAGATTTTAGAAAAAAGACCTAGAAGAGGGTGAATTGTCTTCAATAGATGTTTAACTACTGGATCTGCTACTTGACCTGCCTGTTATCTGAGGTTCTTTCAATTGGACTGTGGGTTCAAGTAAGAAAGGAAGCCTGATATGTATGCAGTGCAGAAGTTGGGTAATGGGAAAGTAGGTTAAAGTAGGCAGGACTCTCACAGGTGGCAGGCAGGACAAAACTCCCAAGGTGATGCTGTCTGCCTTTCCCTGCCGCAGTGCTCATCAACTGTCCTGGGCGTCACCACTGCTGTATAGAGCCTATAGAATATGTTTTTCCCTCTTGGCTCTCTCCAAGAAAGAACTGTTTTTTAAAAAGTGGTTGCTTAAGGAGCTTTAATGTTGTACTTTGTAGAATTATAAATTGATGTTACGATTCATGTCATACACTCCTGGCTCCTTTTGCAGCCCAAGCTGACATCTAGCTCTCTGACTGGTTTAGATTGATCCGTCTTTGCTAAGGATTCTTTCCGGGGAGTTTCAACCCAGTGAAATAAATTCATCATTATATCCTCCCTCTAGCGCCTAAGGGACTTGATGTCAACCAGATGACTTGACTTTCTTTTTCTTGAGGCAGAGGTCATAAACTTGTGGTCTGTGGGCCAAATTCAACACCTGGGTACATTTTGCCTGATTTGTAAAATGGGAATTTTTTCCTTTTCAGTGTATAGCATTTAAAAATTGGAAATTTTACTTTAACATATGGACTTTGGCATCTTGGCTAATAAAACATGTGGCAACAACCACATTTGATTGCAGTTCCAGCTGCAGTTAAGGAGTGGCTGTACCTTTTAGACTGTGCACAATACTGTTCTACATAGAAGCCTGCATGTGGTCCAGCATTTGAGCTTATAATCTTTACAATAATACATGCATTAAAATTAAGTCATGATGTAATTGTATAGTTTAAAGAGTAAATATGCTCTTAAACTCTTAATAATTTTCCTTGCATAACAAATTAACACTCTGAGGACAGGATGTAGATAACCAAATTGTTAATATTGTTCTGTGATTAATTCTCATAAATGGAAATTTAGTACTTCCCTTAGTTTGTGCCCAAAAATGCACACACCATACCATTTGCAAATTAAAATAAGGCACAAATCGGTGCTCATATATTTCTATAAAAACATATATTTGGAAAAAAATTGGAAGGAAAAAAAGGAGTAATCAGACTACATTATGCGTTCAGCCATACCTCAAGTAATTTCATTCTGTAAAGAGACTCCTAGAATGTGAGCAGCACAAAATGATTAAAGAAGGTACTTCCTTTGGAATTTTACTTGAGGAAAAAGAAGGAAATTAACTCAGATTGTTTAAAATTATTATATAATGGGTCTGGGGATGTAGCTCAGTGGTGCCTGCACCTCCTGACAAGTGCAAGGTCCTGAATTCAATCCCCAGTATTGCAAAAAATAAAAAAATAAAAAAATTAATTATTGTATAACTCATGTTTAGACTGGTAATTGTGATGAAGGGTTTTAGTCATTTTTATCGGACTGTATATTTGAATTCATATTAAAAGAATAGTCATTCTCACTAAACCTGAATCACAAAGCATTGTTTTGCAAATGATCAGTACTAGGAATGAAATCAGTGGGATCCTTCGATGCCTTCTTCACATTCAGATTCTGACACCCTCCAGCCCCATTCTGGGAGGTTTGGATGTAGACACTGCTGAGCTCCTTACCTGCTTGGGCTTCTGAGACTCACTGTGGGCCACAGGTGTTGACTTTTTACTGGTTACTTTTAGGAAAGAAAGGGAGGAGGAGGAGGAAGTTTAAGAGCATAACTGGCTATTTAAAGCAAAGTTCCACTTACATTCTTTTATTGCTACAAAATGTAAATGTACAGCAAATTGACTTTTTGAAATTTCCCTTTGACTTTATCATATTTACCATATTATATCTTAATGTTGAATTTTATGTATATAAATATCTCTTTTCATATTTAGGAGTCTCCAAAAGATGTGGAATCCTTTGCATCCATGTTGAGACACTCTCCTCTTATACAGATGGGACCTGCCAAGGATAAACTGGTCATTGGAAGAATCTTTCATGTTGTGGAGAATGATCTTTACATAGATTTTGGTGCCAAGTTTCACTGTGTATGTAAAAGACCAGAAGTGGATGGAGAGTAAGTAAAATCATTGCTGAGTGCTTTAAGAGTATTCATAAAAGTTGGTACACCTCAAAAGTATAGTGGGAGTAGGTGATATTTGAAATGAGAGAGTGTATTTATTTCTCTTGATAATGATATTAGAAGAAAAGTCTTAATAAAGTGCTTAAAAATACTTATTAGTCATGATGGGCCACATTCATTTCTTCTCAAAGCCATGAAAATAGTTTAGGGAAGATGTGAATGTTCATCCTGATAACAAACTATTCCACACCATAAAATTAAAATAAATTTCATAGTAGTATGTGCTGCATAGGCCCTTTTACCTGTAACTTTCTTTGCCCTTTCTCTTTTCTATATATTTTTTTTACTTTTCAGGGAAACCTCCCCTTTTTGTTTCTCAGTGCTCCATTTTCTTACCCCACCAAATTCTGATGTTTTGTCATTTTCTTTTATTTTATATCTCTTGTTCAGGACTATTATTTTTCTTTTGATATAAACAATTCATTCTGTTTATAGTTTGTACTAATATTTATGAATATAAATGTGCGTTGGGGACACCACTAAGATGGGAGATCTAGGAGTGGAATATCAAGTTAAAGGGGATGCTGAGCTAAGATGGGAAAGCAGTAGTAAACAAGATAGAAATGATTTTTTTTCCCTATCAATTTTTAATGTGAACTTTTTTTAGATTTCAGTATTTTTGGTATCAGGATGCATCTTATAGTTGACAGTGTTTTTTTTTTTTTTATCTAATAGCATATCAAGTAATGGCACATCTAGTAACCAGTGACATCTTAGTATGAATTACAGTGATTTAGAAATTTGTGATGTTTCAGAATGAATTATATTGTAGAAATGAATAAGGAGAGAATCTAGGCCTAAGTGTACAATGACGAGGATGAGTTGCCCCTCCTGAGAATTCTGAATATCAAAAAGTACAGCTCAATAAATAAATAAATAAATAAATAAATAAATAAATAAATAAATAAATAAATAAATAAGTGTATGTGCAGGTGTTAACAGGGCTTCTCAGTTAGGGGATACAAGCTTGTTCTACCTGAATATGAATAGGACCTGATAAAATATATTGTTTTGATATCAGCATAATACTTCATGGAATGAGTTTGGAAGTGTTTCTTCCCTTTCAATTGCATGGAAAAATTTAAGGAGAATTGGTGCTAGTTCTTCTCTAAAGTTCTGGTAAAATTCAACAGCGAGTTCTTCAGGTCTTGAGATTTTTCTTAGTTGGTAGTTGATTGCTGCATCAGTTTCATTGCTTATTATTGGTCTATTCAGGTCTATTAGTTTATTCTTGGTTCAAATTTGATAAGTCATATGTGTTCAGGAATTTATCCATTTCTTTCAGGTTCTACATTTTATTGGAATATAAGTTTTCAGAACAGTTTCTAGTAATTCCCTGGATTTCTGTGGTGTCTGTTGTAATTTTCCATTTTTATTTCTAATTATATTGATGCAGGTCTTCTTTTTCTTTTGGTAAATTTGGCTAAGGGTTTATTGATCCTTTCAAAGAACCAACTCTGATTCACCAATCCTTTGTTTATATTTTTAGTCTCACTTTCATTGATTTTTTTTGCTCCGACTTTTATAATTTCTTTCCTTCTATCAGCCTGGAGTTTGGATTCCTTGTTTTTCTAGGACCTTGAAATGCATCAAGAGATTATTTATTTTCGATCACTGTTTTTCTAATGTAGGCACTTACAGGTAAAAACTTCCCTCTTAGAAATGCTTTTACAGTGTCCCATAGATTCTGATGTGTTGTATTATAATTGTCATTTGATTCTAAGAATATTTAAATTTCTCCTATGATTTTTTGTGATCCATTGATTGTTCAAGAATGAATTATTTAATCTCCATGTGTTTGTATGGTTTCTTTTGCTGTTGATTTCTAGTTTTATTCCATTATGCTCTGTAAATTCTTTTGTGTTTATTGAGACATGCTTTTATGGCCTAAAATATGGTCTGTTTTGGGAATTGCATGAGCTCCTGAGAAGAATGTGTATGATGCTATTGGTGGGTAAAACACTGTGTAGGTATCTGTTAAAATCATTTGTTTTATGGTGTAGTTTAACTCTACTTCTTTACTGATTTTTTGTTGGTCTGTTTGTGAGAGTAGGATATTAATGTCCCTCATATGATTGTACTTATGTCAAGTAGTTTTTGTTTTATGAAATTGGGTGTGCCATTGATTAGTACCCGTATATTTATGGTTGTTATCTCTTGGTGAATTATTCCCTTACTGATATTAGTGATCTTCTTTGTCTTTTCTGACCAGTTTTGGTCTTAAATCAACTTTGCCAGAAATTCGTAAACTTTGCTATTTCTGTTTGCTTTCAGGCTATACCTGTCCATCCTTTCATTTTCAGTCTGTTTGTATTTTTATGGGTGAGGCACTCTTGCAGGCAACATATAGTTAGGCTTTATTATTTTTTTTAATCTAATCTGGCAGTCTGTCTTTTTTTTTTTTTTAAAGCAGTCTGTGTATTTTGATGAGAGAGTTAAGACCACTTATATTGAGTGTTATTATTGAAAGGTATGTTCTGATTCCTGTCATTATATTATTTTTCCAGTACTTTATTTCTTTTTGTTTTCCTTTTGTTTAACTGTTCTCCCAGTGAAATTTATTCTTTCCTTTGGGGTGTTGGGTGTTGTTGACTTGTCTCTGTTTAAGATTTTCTTTTGTCTTGGTCATTTTCCTTATTGCTGAGGCACAATTCCTGACACCAACAACTTAAGGAAGGAAAGGTTTATTTTGGCTCGAAGTTTGTTGTGGTTTCAATCCATAGTTGTCTGGCTCCAAGGCAGGGTGGCATGGCAAGGCGAGACGATGTGGCAGGTGGCATTGCATGCTGACAGGAAACACAGAGTGACCAAGGGAGGAAGGATGGAGATATACCCTTCCAGGCCTTGCCCCAAGTGACCCACCTCCTTAGACAGGCCTTACCTCAGGATATCATATTTAGCTATAAACCCATCAGTAGACTAATCCACTGATGAATAGCACACCCCCATGATCCAGTCTCCTCCTTACCTGAGTGCACAGGCTTTGGGGAGACATCTAGATATAAACCATAGCATCTTAAGTATTTTCTGCTGTGCTGGTTTGGTGGTCATGAATTACTTTAGATTATCTTTATTGTGGAAAGCCTGTATTTCTCTGTCGATTTGGAAGGATACTTTTGCAGGATACAATAATCTAGGTTACCATTCATTTCTTTTTAGGACTTGTAAAACTTCACTCCCAGCCTCCTGGCCTTTAAGTTTTATGTTGAGAAGTCTGCTGTTATTTTCATGAGCTTGGTTTTGTATGTTATTTGACATTTTTCTCTAATAATCTTTAGTATTCTCTCTTGTCTTTTTTAATGGTGGAAAAGTTTCTCATTTGTTAAAAGTAGGAAAAAACCCAGAAGGGTAGGGGCAAAACAGGCTCTGCAGAGTGAGTTTAGGCTCAGTAAAAAGGGAGGAAAAAAAATACACTCTATGTGTAGGCTGGGCAACCACGAAGAGACACGATAGCTAGTATTCTCTGTTTTTAATTTCTGGGATTCTTGGTGATGGTTGGGCCATGGAGAGGTTCTTTTCTAATCATGTGTGTTTGGGATTCTAAATGCTTCATTCAATTGGGTATCCATTTCGTTAACTAGATTTGGGGAAGTTTCTTCAATAATTTCAGTAAATAATTTTTTTATACTATTGGTTTCTGCCTGTGCTCCATCCTTAAGACCTATGATCCTAAGTTTGTTTTAGATTCATCTACAAACTCTTGGATCATTTTTTTTATCATTTTTTTCATATTATTGAGTGAACGTTCTACTCCGTTAACCTTGTCTCCAGGTTCTTACACTCTGTCTTCTGACTCATCTTGTCTACTGCCAAAACTTTCAGTTGAATTTTTCATTATTTCCAGGATTTCTGCTTGATTCATTTTTATAATCTGTAATTCCTTTTTTTTTTTTCTGGTACTGGGGATCGAACTCAGGACCATGCACTTGTGAGGCAGATGCGGAGCCACTGAGCTAAGTCCCTGGCCCCTAACTTCTAATTCTTCAAATACATATATACACACATTTTTTTCATTTTTCTCCCTTCCTTTTGCATGTCTATTAGTATTTTGTTAAATATTTTAGATTTGGTCTTTTTATATATGTATAACAAAATATAGCTATTTATATTGGTTTTATGTTAGTAACATAACACTGAGCTATTAAGTCATAGATTCCCATGCCTAAGTCACTTCTTAAGGATATTTAACTTTCTTGGATAGTCAGTTCAACAACTGCTTAAAATTCCCTGACCTCTTCTCTTATTCTGTTCTACTTTTTCTTACTTCTGTCTTTCACTTGTTCACTGTTGTTCAGATTATATTCCTGTGGGAGTTTTGTTACCTACCTGTGCAGCCACACAGCCACTAACCTGGGTGATTGCCTTAGATCAACAAAATGTGCTGTTTCCTCTAGACCACCATGATGGAATTCCTGCAACCTCAAAATTTTTAACCATTTTATTTTGTTTTCAAGTTGTTCTCATGAAAGCCAATTTTAGCCGGGTATGGGGGTTCATGCTTATAATCCCAGCACTTGGGAGACTGAGACAAGAGGATTGCTGCGAGTTTGAGGCCAGCCTGGGCTACATAGTGAAACCTTATCTCAAAAAACAAAACAAAAGAAAACCAAAAAAGCAATTTTAATGTTTTTCAAAGAAATTTATTTTTTGCTTAAGAAAATTGTTATTGAATCAGGTTGAGCAAGAAAACTATAAAGTTTTTTTTTAAGTTGTAAAAATTTTGATGGCATTACTTTCCTAATATCTTTCTGTTCTAGTTCTACTTCCAAGTGACTGGCCCTAGCAAATACGAGTCTTGCAGTGTGACACTGTTATGTGGGGAAGTCTGTGTAGAGCTTCAGTGATTGGACTTCCACTCAGAGAGAAGGCTGTGGCCTCATATCAGAATATTTGAACTAGTTTTCTTTCAGTTAATATTCTTATAATTGATGTGT